AGTAACAGTAGCATTCAGGTGCAGAAATTTAATAATTAAGTGTAAAATAACACAATAGTGCTCACTGCACAAGTTAAATACAGATTAATCTTTGTTAGAGCTGTGGTGTTATTTGATTAGCAGACAGAAACAGGTATTTATTGGCTGCTGTCTCTTTTAGACCAAATGCACGGACCTAATACTGACACACATCTGTTTTTTTTTCTCAGCCGTAACGGGTATTTTAACATAACTTTGTGTGTATGTGAAAGAGGAATCAATTCGCTGTTCACGCGGTGTCTCTCTCTCTGCGTGTGCGCACTTCGAGTGTGTGCGGCAGCGGCTGAGCGCACAGAAAACAGCGCGCGAGTTAAAATTGCTTGAATGTGTAAACTGGCAAGACAAAACATGTGCAAATGATAAACGTTAACTCTATGATGGTTAAACTTTACAGTTAATCGGCGAATCGCATGTGTGCTGAACCGTGCAGCCTGATCAGTTATGGATCACAGATCATCTACGATCCGTTACACCCCTAGAAGACATGACAGACAAACAACTGTAAGGGCAAATAAGCAGAATGCGACATTTGACGCTAATCTGACACCTCTTCATTTCACATACTTTCTGAGTGTCTGGATCTATCAGCCAGTTCCAGGCTCCTGTAGCTGTGCACACAGACACCACGATCAGAATCACTGCAAAAAGAAGACAGAAGTCATGAATTAAAATGAGGCAAGGTAAGGCACAATATACTTAATTTCAGTCCTTATTGATGAATATGTTATGGACACTTGGAAATCATGTACAGATCTAGGCTCAGATCAGACACATAGTCCAGGTTTTAAACTGCTTGAAAGCGATTCAATAAATTTTAGACCAGACAAGCTGGACTGACTTACTGCGCCAACGACCTGTAGCCGGCTGCAAACAAGACACATACTCTGTCAGTCTCCTCTCAAAAGCCTTCAGGTCTGTGGAGGAACAACACAACTATATCAGCACTGGACTGGACAGTGAGGTAAGCAACATCTATTTTCTAATTTGAACACATTTTTACATTTTTAATTGACAAAGAATTCAGCCACACTTAAAGGACATGTTAAAAGACAGATTTGTATCATTACAATGTTGGTAGTACATATAAATGAACAATGTGCATTTTTCCCCCATGTGACCTGTACCCAGATCTCCCAATTTATTTAGCAACTAAAGTGATTTTCTGACAGCTGCAGGCAAGCCCTACTCTACACTGCTCAAAACTCGCGTTTGAATCATCAGTGGCAAATTCTTTAAATATGGAAACGTTCTTACAGTCTGTGAGTCAGAAGCACCAGACTGCTCTTGCAAAGTTGGAATTGCCCCACTTTGTAGAAACTAGAGATCGACCGATATGTGTTTTTCACTGGCCGATGCCGATATTTAGAAATCAGGGCAGCCGATCGTGCAGCCCTAGTTTGAGTAAATGATTATTGCACGGTACAAGATAAACTCAAAACAGTTCTGAAGCATGCTTTTTGTTTATGTTTGCTGACAGACACCAGTGTTTCCCACAGAATTGCAAATGCAAATTGATTCTCTGCCAGCAGGAGGCGCTGTTGGAGCAGGTTTCCCCGGTAACGCTGTAATCAAATAAGCACTGCGCTCACAAACGCTATTTATCAGGCATTACAGGAAAGACGAAATGAAAATGACACTGAAGCTTTTCTGAAGATTGTCGGTTCTTTTCAAAGATACATTCATATAAAAACACCTGCACTGCATTTTAATTTTTAACTCACAAATAACAAATAACTCAATGTTATTGAAACACTGGACACTGCTATAAGTCAAATGGCCAAGTGATAACAAAAATAAAAGAGTTCACACATATTACACAGCCTGCTGCTCATAACTGCTTAAGAGTGGACCTACACACACATTTCACGAGGAAAGTTAACCTGCACGTTATAATCAGCCCAGAAGTTTCGTCTGAATTGCATGTGTTTCTACTTTCACATGCAAATGACTTGTTGCTCTTATGAATATGATAACTTCCCGGCATCAATTCTAGTAAGGTAAAATGTAGTTACGCTTTCGAAACTTGTCTGTTTTGCCCTGCCATCATTAGCTGAAGCTGTCTGTGAACAAGAAGCGGCTGCAGAGAGTGTATGGCGTTATTTTAATGACAAATGTCGGCACTCTCTCCGGGCGAGAGCAGCGTGTATCTGAGCGCGAGCGTCCGGTTTTGCGCGAGAGCAAGGGAAACCCGCGCTGCGCATTGTATTAATGTGCTTTCGCGCTACAATAATGCGCTCTCGACATTTGTCATTAAAATAACGCCATAAGAGTGCGAGTTGCTCTGTCTCTCACGGAGCCAGAGAGAGATTCTCCTGCGTTCCGCAACAACGCTTAGCTGCCCGCAGATGCGCCTGCCTATAAATCGGCCTAATCTGCAGCACAATCGGCTGATGCCGATTAATTAAAAAATGCCAAAAATCAGCCAATCAATCGGTCGACCTCTAGTAGAAACACTATTCACAAACAGCTTGTAACACTCCAAAGAGAAAGAAAAACTTGAAATTGCATCATATGACCCCTTTAAAACTACAGATTGTACTTCCGTATTTTTGTATTCCCGACCATGGACAGTCGGATCGAGCCCAAAGCATTAAGGGTGTTGGAGTTTTCCTACCTTTCTAACAAAAGAGAATGCCACAACCCCTTTTCTAAGTTTTCTTTAATCATGTAACACCTTTCAAAAACATTTTGCCCTTCTACTGTATAGACAGCCAAGTTCTATTAGTCACCTACATCTTGGATGCCCTGGGGGTAAGCAGATAAACATCAAATTTTCATTTTTGGGTGAACTATCCCTTTAAGAGACCATGTTGTCAGCGGTGAATTACCCCTTTAAGACACTTGATTGCTATGTTTCACATCACTCTGAAAAATGCGTACTGAAGAAAAGCTAAATACATAGATGGGATAAATACACTGATTTCACACTCCGTTACACTGACTGAGCTCATAAGGTGAGAAATATCAACTGTACAAGGCATATCAATGCACTGGCAGCTTTATAGCTTTTACATCTTTTTGGGAAAATGTACACTATTTTGCATGTAACTTATATGTCAGTGTGTCAGATATGATGGCATTATGATTGGCCAACACCATGTTTAAAAGCAAAGACAAGGCTCTACAATGACAGAAAAGCTGCACTCCTTGTTGAGGCATCAGACTTTCGAGATTTCGTTTCACATACTTACGTTCATGATGTTGCTGCAGTGCATGTCAGCAAAATACACAACGCTTTTAACAGCTGAAGGGTATCAGAATCTTAGCTTAGATGCTAGCAGTCCAGTGACAACACTATCAGTTATATATCTAACTTGCCATAAACACATAGACGCTCCGCTAATATTTGAATATGACACTTGGAGATGAGTACACTAAACTGATAATCGATCTATTGAAAAAATACCTTCGGCTTGTTCTAATGAATGCATTGCTCTTCCCCCAAGTGCTGTAGTCGCTCAGCTCAGGCCTGCAAACACACGCCACTGCCGTCAGCGTGCACCAGCCAATCGCGGAAGCTCTCTTCTCATTGGCTCCTAGAGAGGAGGGCGTCATCTTAAAGAAACATATTAAGATAAATAACATTCTTTGCTAACAAATTGAAATGAGGTGAATGTTTTCAACAAGGTGGACACAGTTCTGTTCATAACAGTAGACCTGCTGGTGAAGAAGTGACAGGCACCTTTTTTATGTAATGGCCATACAAATACAGTAATAGGGTTGTCTGGTTTCAAAAATTGTTGTGGATGTATAGGCTATATACAGGAAATAAGGGGCCAAAATTGCACCTTTTGGGGTACAACAGCTTGTCACCGGAACAGTACCCTTAAAAGGACATATTTGTTCCTTTTTTACCCCTAGGCCTACAAATTATTACCTTAAGGGTACGAATTACTACTCTTAAGGTACTAATATGTACGGTGTACTGCTACGGTGTCAAGCTGTTGTACCCCAAAAGGTACCATTTTGGCCCCTTTTTTTCTGTGTGGCCTGGATGAGTGTGAGTTTTCCCGGCCTGAAATTGCGTCCTTTTGCCCTGCCTCTATCTCACAGTCTGGAATTTCCTTTGTGTCCACCAAATCTTTGAATGTGACCTGGCTGTGCGTCCAACCAATCAGAGCTCTGAAGCCTGTGGGCGTCTGAAGGGAGCAAATGGATTTGAGCATGCACAGAGAGTCTGGACTAGTCTGCAAGCAATCTGATGTCTCCCGGAAACGATCTGCATAACGGGGTGTTAATGTGAAGGAGTATAATGTTTTGGTGAGCCGCTTGTCAATGAGGCTGGAACTAGCAAGGGCCTTATCTTGGACAAATTGCATCCTTCCTGTCTTCTCCAAAACCCACTTCATACTGTTATTTATAAGGCGGAATACGCCTGGAGGCTGTGGCTGGTCTTTACCTGAGATCAACTCCGAGGGATGCCAGATTTGGTGTGACACTCCAAAGCTCACATCTGCAATGTACTGCTTCCCATCAATCTCTACAAGATTAAAAATTAATTAAACATACTGGTAAAAAGAATGTACTGTAAGTCGCTTTGGATAAAAGCGTCTGCTAAATGCATAAATTAATTATTAAAATAATGAGATGAGAATCCATGGGGAGAAACTCCTGTTCCAGTTGAACACTTTGGAGCCTAACATGGTGAATTTCCTTCAGGACCCATGAGAACAAGAGGTTGTTTTTACAACACCAGCCTCCCTGATTGCTCTTGACTATTTTATCATAGATGATGTTTAGGTCCATAGTGTTCTTCTCGCCAGAATGGATGCTGAGGTTCTCAAATGGAATATTCATAACATGCAGCTTGTGGATGGTGAACAAATTGTCCAGCTCAGCTTTGTCATACTGGCCAATAAACCCAATCCTGTTCAAGTACTCTTTTAGGTCCATTGTATCCCTACAAGCAACAATGTACAAAGTTTTAACAGAAATTGTGTAGTAATTTTACATCGTTATACTCTATATGAAATATATAATTTCAGGACTTACAATTTAATATAGCATATTAGTTATTTGTAATTATTGTTACATTATTATTACAACAACAGCAAAACTGCAGCCAAGGAGAACAAGAAAGAAAGATTGAGAAAAATCAAAGAATGTGGGAGCGGATGAAATGAACAGAGGAAGATACCCATAAAAAAAGTATGTTAAATAGTGTGGCTCAAGGAAATACATTTTATTATTCTTATTATTATTACATGTAATCTTTCAAATGCCATAATATATTTCAAGGAGCAAGAAACTATATTTAAATCTTAAAAAATACATTTCAGATTAATGAAATTCTTTAATAAACTATAAATAAACATGGAAATCTACATATTTTAGGTAACTAAAATGTATTGAAAATGCTTTGAATATATTAAAAATCAATATGATAAATATACAGTATATATTTTTGCCATACAGGTAATTTAGTTTCAAGTTCTGTTTTGAGACATGACATAGAGTAAATTCAACTTATTTGGGACATTTTTCCCAGTCATCTCAATGGCAAAAACTGTCCCAAATGTACAACAATCAATAAAGAAAATTATTTTTTAAAATGTAAAAAATCATACCGTTAAGATGAATCCAGTGAGAGCTTAAGGAAGAGCAATAGCCTACTCAGAAAGAATAAGGGGATTGAATAACACACCATTGAACCACAAAGTAAAACTATGAATGATAAATACAGGGCAAAATCCACAAAGCTGAACATTTCTGTGCGACTCAACACATGCACAGCATTAATTACTATTGCTCTTCAAACTGTTGTTTCACAGAATAGCCCTACTGGTCATGGATACTGCAACCAATGCTTATCTGTTTGTTTCATTTGCAGACCATTACACAACATGCTTCTTGTCCTGTGACTGTTGCTAAAAAATGACCCCTAATCTTTTGTGTAATGTCTCTACTAGATCTGACTAAGAATATATAGTGTTTCTTTGATTTCTTGCTCTCTCTCCAGGCTACTACTTTGCGTAATGTCCCAATGTTAAATTCATCACAATATATAAACAGTTTATGTTTACTTCAAATCTTTTCATATTAATGTAGAACATAATATCATGCAAACCCATGATATCTAAATTTATATTAAGGCACATATGGACACCTGCATCTTGGGTAGAAGTACAACAATAAAAGGGAGACTTAAAATAAATAAAATAAACAATAAAAACAATAAAAATAAAAACAATAAACAATAAAATCAGGAGACTTTTTTATTGGTTTACAGCGTTCTCAAGTGGTCAAATTGAGCTTATCTTTAAGAATCAGAATAATTTGTATTGGTTGTATAAAAAAATGGTCTCAGCATGCATCAGTGTTAATGAACAATTTAGTTAATGCACTACAAATTACAAAGTATTATTATAAAGTATTGTAAAGTTAATTGACAGTTGTTTTTCATAAAATTCTCCAATGGCCAACTTGTTTGCTGGTGTTTGTCTGTGTGGTGTGAATTGGCAGATGACACAAACACACACACACACACACACACACACACACACACACACACACACACACACACACATATACAGTATATTAATATATAGTTACACACCATATCCAGCAGTTTTAATTATTAATTATTGGCAGTATCATCCTCCTAATTAATCAACTCATTTTGCTTTTTCAGCAGTTTGGTTTCTTTGTATTGATAATGGCTGTCCGAAACACATACAAGCACGAATCAAAGTATATGGAGTGAAAAGAACTCATAGGACAGTTTTTATCTTGAGACCGTCTTTATCATTCTGTTATACTGAAGAAAAGCAGAGAGAGCGAACGAGAGTTTCACATGGTTTGGTCAGTAGACACAGAGCTGTTGTTGTGGAAAAACATGCATCACTGAGCAAACTCTAAGGCTTGTGGATCTGAAACACTTGTTGCTGGAATTAGGAGACAAACATGCTGTATCACGAGTTAGCCACAAAAAGAAAGGAGGAATTTTCCTTTTCCTGTGTTCTGTGCACGGAAAAATTAGAAGTTTTAAGTCACGCAAGGTATTTTCTATTTTCTGTTTAATTTTTTCTCGTTGATATAGGATCTGCTCCTGGCTTGTATATAATAAGTAAAAAAAATAAATATATTTTTTTATATCAATATGATGATGTTATATTGCTAATGTTTGATAATGAGCATGTTAAATACTTGTTTTGAGAATGTCCGAGTATATGTGGGCTATATATATTAATATTTACATTTACATGAGAGTGATATTTCACCTTATATAAAACTTCCAATTAACAACACAAATGTCCATACATAATATGTATTTACAAACACAGGTTATGGACTGCCAAGTCAGTCAGACAGACAGCATGTTTTGTATGAAGGTATCTCCAAAGGAAACTGGTGTTGACAGGCTTCAACAGCACTAAAATCACTAATGATTTAGAACAAATTCTTGTGAGTTTTGGTCATAAGGAAATATTTATTGGCTACCATATTTATTTCCTGGAACATTTATGAAATCATGTACTGCATAGATGGAGTGAAGGGAGCATCTATGCTGCTTTCAAAAAAGATCAGATACACGCATTTTAGACAGGATGCCAAGGAGACAGGATGTTACGTATTTATTGCATTATTTCGGACATATTTTGATGTCTGCAGCCACAGTATATGCTGAGTCTTTTTCTTTTCATTTATGTAGGCCTACTGCGAAGTTGTAGCTGTTCTGAGACAGATGCAACCCAATTTTCACTTGTTCTGTTATAATTTTCCTTTAGTCCTTAGACGATGTTAGATATCAAATACGTAGGTGAATTGTTATTTTGAATCTTAACCGTGATCTTAACCGTCCTTTTCCGTGAATCTTTTTGAACTTGTTCGCAAAAGGAGCTGAACCAAACATTTGATTTTCCGGTGGAAGGAGAATTACGCCTGAATTAAATACGTAAGAGCTCTTTGAACGCTTTTAATCGAATGAACTGCTGCACGAATGACATGATGTCGAGAACGCATGCGCAGGAGGATTTGTTGGCGAACCCTAAGAAAAAAGCTATGATAACAGTAATGCGAAAACAGAATTTATTTTTGTAATGTAATTAAAAAACATTAGTTTAATTAAAACATAATAAATCACTTATAATTTAAACGATTAAAGCATTGGTATGCTATAAAATATACACTAAAACTATTTTGTATTAAGCGTGTTGCTACTCATCTATACAAGTGAATGTTGGCGACCTTTTTGGCCTATACCAAGATGTGTACTATACTGGCTATCGCTTGATGGTCTAAAAACCTGCGCCGAGTTTGGTTATATGGTTATATTTTCCTTTTGCTACACAGTTTACAAGATGTGGAGTAGTTAGTACTATTGGACAGCTGCTTCCTTTTTGTGCTTTGATGTGTTGAGCTACGCAAAATAATCCAGAATGTATGAACGTGTGAATAAGCCAATAATTAATAAGACATTTTAAAATGATAATATTATGTTATTTACACCGTGTTAATCATAAATGTAACTTAATGACGCAGGGCATGGGCAGGTTAACTGTCATGCCAACAAAACTGACTCATCAGAAATAAGTGTTCTGTTAGTTCAGAAGGCATTTAAAGCAGCATTGACCTGTGCTGAGGTCAGGCGCACCATCACCTACTAAGAAGTTATGATGGTTAATATATAAACAAACAGGACAGACCTCACATTTTGATTGAAATAAAGCTTTAGGGTTCAGTAAGTTGTCAAGATTGCTGAAGAAATATGTTGTACTGCAAATAATGACCGGTGTTTCTTTTATTAAAGAATTGTCCTGAAAAGTTTGTGACCCTGGAGCACAAAACCAGTCTTAAGTCGCTGGGGTATATTTGTAGCAATAGCCAAAAATACATTGTATTGGTCAAAATGATAGATCTTTCTTTTACGCCAAAAATCATTAGGATATTAAGTAAAGATCATGTTCCATGAAGATATTTAGTAAATTTCCTTCCGTAAATATATCAAAACATAATTTTTGATTAGTAATATGCATTGCTAAGAATTTCATTTGGAGGAGCTTTAAAGGCAGTTTTCTCAGTATTTAGATTTTTTTTTCACCCTCAGCTTCCAGATTTTAAAATAGTTGTATCTCAGTCAAATATTGTCCTATCCTAACAAACCATACATCAATGAAAAGCTTATTTATTCTGCTTTCAGATAATGTATAAATCTCAATTAAAAAAAAGTGACCCTTATGACTGGTTTTGTGGTCCAGGGTCACATTTGCCCTAGTACCCTTTCTGTTGCTGAGAGAAATAAAAGGTGTAAAGTCTGCCAATTCGATGATAAAATTAGCATTTGTAGAAACTGTAACTCATTTTGACCTTAATTGTGGTGACTGACACTCATCAACAGAAACGTGTGAAAAGTACTGTCAGAGGTAAAAGAACATACTTGTGTCTTTGCCTTCTCACCCAGAGTCAGTTTCTTCAGGGCTGTTATCAAATGACTTTGGATTTGCAGCATCCGACATGTGGTGACAGGAGAGAGACAGAGGAGGAGTGTCAAGACCTCTGCTCATGTTAACCTTTGAGTCTGGTAAAATAGTAATGCAACTCAGTGTCAAAGACTTTAAAGCACGTTGCTGCTAGAGAACTATGGCATTCATGATTGGCCTGACAAATACATTGACCAGTACACAGACAAAGACAGCAGGTAAAGGGTATGTAACTTTTACTACTATTAATATAACACTATTACTCTTTGATGCAAAGGGTACTGTTTTTATTCATTCCTTCATTTCAAACATTATATTTCATGTTTCCTCATGTTCATGTAAAGATCTTGATTAATAACCTACAGGAACTGCTGAAAAAAAATGAGGAACTCCACAGAGAAACAGAATGTGGAAGGAGTTTCTTTTGTAAGTAAAATGCTGACTGTATATTTTACTTTTATGTTGACTCACAGTTCCTTTTATTTTATGATATCCATGTCTCTGTGTTTTTCTCTCTTATTGTGCAGAAACAGAGAAGAGATAGTGCTTCAGTCATGAGTGCCTTTCCTGAAGGTCCTCCGGTTCTAGATTACAGGGAACCAGAACCTCCTCCTAAGAAACACAAGTACCAGGAAAGCTTGAAAACCCTCATCCCATTCCGGTTCGGCTCACAGTAAGACATTCGCCAGCTTTCTCAACATATTCTAAGCATATTACATTTTTATGTCAATAATGAAAGTGATCAGTCCATTTCATCAAGAGATGAGAGAAAAAAAACTAAAAGAACATGTTTTCATCATTGCTAAGAAATGAAATGCCCCAGTTTTTCTGTTTTTAATCAACAAGTCTGTCATTCATATATCATTTCTGAATCTTCAAATATGTGATAAATTCATAACGTAATCTTAAATGTACATTTTCTAACTTTTTACAGCTCACATCCAGTCGATGATGCTGGTTTCTTCTCCTTCACATCATTTGCATGGATGTCACCCATGATGTGGAAGCTCTTTAGGAAACGGTTAGATGAGGACTCACTTTATCTCTCACCTCATGATGGAGCCCACATCAATGGAGAAAGGTACAAATGTGAACAATTAAGGAAATTCTTCATAAGCTTTCCATTCAAATCTTTGCTTAGTTTAGGAAGTCTCAGCAGAATGAGTAGCTCCAGTGTAGCACTTGGCGAATATGAAACCATAAGTCATCGTCTGATGTTTTTTCATATATCCAGGTTGATTCTGGAAAATTGTATTTGCGGGCATATGGATTATGTTTAAAAAATGAGAGAGAGAGAGAGAGAGAGAGAGAGAGAGAGAGAGAGAGGGGAAAAAA